CATGTCAAGATCTCTTTCAGTGCATATATGTAGACCGAGATGTTTTGAGGACAATTGCCCTATTTGCCATGAAGATCTCTTCACATCCAGCTCTTCAGTAAAGGCCCTTCAATGCAGACATTTGATGCATCGGGCTGCTTTAAGGTACTTGATTCTGAAATGCTTCTCTTTTACTCCATCATAATTTCACACATCCTCAGCCAACTATAATGTTCTCCTCATGCTCTGCTTCTAGGAGTATACCATTACAAGCTACACCTACCCAATATGTTACAAATCACTTGGGGACATGCAGGTTAATTTCTAGACCTGTTTCCTGTTGTCTGTTCATCTTAAAGAATAGGATGGTTAAAAGGTCTGATCAGACTACACAAACCTTTTACGTTACTGCAAGTGTATTCTGATTTCTGAAATTTGTATTTTTTATTTGATACAATTCGTAGTGATGAATGCTTACAGTTCCACTCATTTACTCCCTTTTTTTTGGCTCACTGCTCGTTATACTTAAACAATGAAAATAGTATTGGATCTGAAGACCCTGCTGGTAAAGTGACTTGCCTGGAATGAAAGTTCTTCTCCATTGTTAACTCACAGAGTTCTGTTACTCCATTGCAGGTAAAGTGCCGTATCACTCGTTCTCATGCTTACCAGATTCATCTCGAACTTCAATTCTTTCACTCACCAGGGTCTCCTTGAAAATGCTTTTGAATTTTGAGATGGATCAAGAACATCCTACTACTGAAACCATATTAAATTTCATCATAATTTAATTTTCCTCAACTTGACTTTTTATTTCTTCCTATCTTCATGGTAATAAATGCCTCGTTCAAGATTCATGATAAAAGATCACCTCTTTGATGTTGTGTGAAGCCTGGTGATTTTAAATCCTTGAGGATGTCTTGCAGTTATATTTCAGTTTGTTGTATGCATTGTGGGCTGAAGAAAGACTGCCAGGTGAGTATTGTGGCCAAACTCAGGTTCACCAGTCTTTCTCCCCATTTTCCATCCCTTCTCACTCTACTTCTAAGTGTGTTATGTCGTCAACATATCCTCCGATTGCCTTCAGGTTATTGCAGGCCATCCAGTGTAATGACTGTCAGAGAAAAGGAACAGCTCCGTTTCACTGGCATCTTCCTAATGCTCGCACTGTAGCTCATAGAACACCAGACTTATATAACTCTTACTGTTCCATGGTAAGTTTAGATGTGATTTCTTTGTCAAGATGAATGAACCGCATGGTTATCTAGTTGGTATTTTTGCTATGTCTTCTACCTACTATTTGAATAAATTAGTTTAGTCCATCTTTCTTCTTGCTGGGATGTGTACTGGTTTAGAGACTCCCATGCCTTGTGACTTCAGGGAATCAAATAACGCTAGCAGACTATGCTTTTTCTACATGATGCACAATGGATTGTATTTTCTAAGTTATCTATTATTGCCGGACAAAAGAAATAATATCCTTTTTTGTTCTAATTGACAATATACAAGAAAAATGTTTCAGAAGTTTATTTATTTATTTTGTACTGATTTTCATGTAGTCTGAGATTGAGACTTAAAAATTTTTTAATGGATAACTTACAGTTTTGAAGTTGAAGACCACACAAATCGATTTTCAGGTGCCTGCAAAGCTTTTTCTTCTCTTTTTTTCAGGCAATGTAGTCTAACTAGAGGAATCTTGAAATGAACATCAATTCAAGTGGCTAACATATCATCCTTACGCTAAGTTTATTCTCCCCAGATTTGAAAATAACCTCTGGAAATAAAAAATAGACTTCAAATTAAAAAATGAGAGGTAGAACAGTTAATGTGAGTCATAATATACATAGCAAATATATGTCAATTTTATGACTTTTACTCTTCTTAGTTTTGTGTGCTTTCATCGAAAATAAAAGGGTTTGTTGTGCTTCAGTGAGTCAATCTGTTGACACTGTGATTAGGAAGCTTTAGACTCTGTTTCTCTGTCTATGTTAGGGTAGAATATATTCTTTCACCTTTTAGGTTGTGATGTCAGGGACAAAAATGATAGAAGAAATTTGCATTTACCATCATAATTGCTATAGGCATGTTAAGTATACAGATTGCATGATGCTACTTGGGAAAGATATAGTGTTAACATAATCCATCATCCTATTTGAAGTACTATAGCCTCAATATCTTTACAAGGTGAAGGATTGGATGAAATCTGGGGAGGTTTCTAGTGCAAATCTCCT